ATTTATTCTTTGTTGCCTTATTATTTCTTCTACGCAATAGTGGATCGCCGTTATTTCTGTCTGGAAAATTGTGACATCCTTAGATAGGCTTACGAGGAAGGATATCCCTTATTTCGGCCCTACTATCCCAGCTCCTGTACAGCATGATACCCACGAGAAATTAAGAGATCTAGAGGAAGACTAAAGGACCATGATATTAAGAAATTAGCAGGGATAACTTGGGTCCGCATAGCCAACAATAGACAACAATGGGCCCAACTACAAAGAGAGTATCTAAATATGTGAGGGAGGCTACACCATAATTGGAAATGGTTGAATAAGCTGAAAATGATGATGATGAATCTGAGGTTCCCATCAAAGAAGTGCCTATAATAAAAACACACTGGAGGTACAATAAAAATTGAAAATAAAAATACAGAAAACGTGTGTGATAAATAATACATAATTTATGGTATGAATATATCGAAGCAGAAATTATCTTATTATTTAAGGCGTAGCCCCAGATACCAACCAACAAGAAGGCAGTCGTTTCCTTGAAAGATCAAAAGGCAAACCGGACAGTCACGTTCCGATATTCTTTGTTCCGTATCGTTATTTGTACGTTGGTTTTATTAAATAACACAAAAAAATCGTAATGGCAAAAAACGCCAACGAGAAATTCGATAAGCGTAAATATCTATATCGGTTTATGTAAGTAAATTAGGTTTTTTTTAATTAGTTTTGGACGAGGCGTTATAGAGGAGGTTTTTCTAAGACAGAGTACTTTATAGATTGAGGATGGTATATGTAATTAAATTGATATTAACGGGTTTTTGCTGTACAGGGTGCGTCAAAACATTATGTGGCCTTGTATTTATCGTATTAGTAAAGAGAATGGTGGACCGGTGGCCGAACATTGGTAGAATCAGTTCTTTGCTATGGTTCAGAGCTGTAGACTCTGAGTGCGGTTTTTTTGCTAACTCTGGTTTCGGTCCCACCAGAGGCTATTAAAACATCCAATAATTTATTTGCTCTTCTGAATTCGGGTTTGTAATTCTTCTTTGCCCAAAGCCTCGTTGTTGATTGTGGCACCCAGGTATTTAAATTTGTCTACTTGTTGAATCTGGACGTTATCATTAATAAAGACTTCAAAACGAGCGTTGGAATTGACAGCTAAGTTTTCCGTCTTTTTTTGTTGTATTCTTGGTAAAGCCTCTTAGTCATGAACACCAGTTCGTATATGAGTCCTGCGCAATCACGACCTGATCGTCTGCAAAACTCAGGGTAAAGAGAGTATCGTCCTCAATGGGTATTCCCATACCTTGACAACTCCTCTTCCATTCCCTAAGGGCTACTTCGACGTAAGCATTGAAGATCAAAAGTAGCATAATAAGTGTAAGCTGCATCTGTGGTATTAATCGGTTTGGATAGCCTATGTCCTATCTTAACATGCGATTCATTTTCTTTATATAGCCCTTTTATTAAATATCTATTCTATTTTCTATCTATCTACTTCTAAAATCTTCAAGACTTCCCATATCTTGATAAAAATAAAACCGGACCAAGAAGTCTTAATCATGGGAGACCTTAACGCAATTATTTTAGATAATTTAGTAATTATTTTTGAGGAATAGCATTAAAAAGATATACTTTGGATGGTATTTCATCAAAATCCAAGTTTCATCTCAGTCTCTCGTATAGTACTGGAGATAATGTTGCATTGGTTAGGCGCACCTACGAAAAACTGAAGGTATTTTGATGACTCCTTCTGAGCATAACTTCCCAACCCTGAAGACACAATTAACCCTTTATTAACCAAAAATACAATTTACTAACAACTAGAACAATTATCATTTTAATTTAAGTAAGTAGTAAATCTGCCATATAATGGACATATACCAGATGTTTCTCAAAAGTGGCTCACCCCCTATAACTTTTTTATTTTTTCAGATAAAACAACGAGATTCGGTACGTTAGTATATGACATAAATTAGGATTGATTGACGTATTCAATTGTTTTCGGTCACTTCCTGTTTTACCGGATATGACTACAATTTTGGATTTTTAAATGGCACCCTCGGTATTTTGTTACTATATTCGATAGAAAATGACGTTCTGAATAGAATGACATATATGTCAACTTTTGATATTTTCGCATATGGTTTATTTGAAATTATAACATGCGGTTCATAACGACAATTTGACTCGAAATACCAAGTGTGTGGTATCAAATTATTCGTAAAAAAATGCTTTTTCCAAATATGCTAATGAGCCACTCGTTCCATTTAAACAAATTGAGATATGATTAAAAATACGATTTAGGAATCTTTGAACCGACCAGCACAAGACACTAAAAACATTAGACGATCAACACTATTTTTCCAAGGCTCCTTGATTAAAAATTAGTGTTTTTAACACAGTCATGGCACTCTAGATTGAAATTTAAAATGCAATTTGTTTTTCAGCGAATATGTCAAAAGTTGACATATTATATGTCATTCGATTCAGAATGTCATTTTCTATCGAATAAAGTAAAAAAGTACCGAGAGTGCCATTTAAAAATCAAAAGTTGTAGTCATTTCCAGTGAAACAAGAAGTGACCGAAAACAATTATTGAATACGTCAATCAATCCTAATTTATGTCATATTCTAACATACCAAATCTCGTTTTTTTATCTGAAAAAATTAAAAAGTTATACGGGTGAGCCACTTTTGAGCCGCACCCGGTATTAAGGATTTTAAGTTTTAAAGAAAAAAAAATATTTGAATATAAACCCATTTGCCAATTTTCAATAATCAATATAAAACAATTATTATATTCATTATATTTATATCCTCAATATACAACAGTACCTACAGCAACTGTAACTGATCTAAAACCAACACTCAATTAAAAAGAGATAATACTAAAAAATGTTTTTAAAACACAAAACCACAATAATAATTTCGTTCTCCATTTCTTTCAATGAATGACAAGAGTTTAACGCCCTAAAGCACAACCGAACTCGAGTTCACTTAACTTTTCGAAAAAACGAAGCAGATAATTTCGTTTTCAGCGAAGTACTCTTGCTTTCTTTCATCTCGGCACCGGCTAACGGTACCGCAAATCGATTAGAACCGTCTTGAAGATCGCTTCCTTTTTCTTTTATGATTTTGATCGCTTCGATGTTATTTTCAGCACGTCGTGCGTCCTACGAAATTAATTTAAAATTTAAATGCTTGGGTAGTTAATGATGCGCAATATTCAATCTTCTAGCACAAATATTTTGACAATTTTCTCAAAATATTTGTGACCAAGAAAGGTCTTCTAACAGTAATCACCGAATTGTCTTTACAAGAAGAAAAACTTTTTTATTGTTGACATTTTGAGAAAAAAGCATTCTTCATAAAAATTTTTGCTTGTTCTAAAATGGTTAATCCCATTTATACTTTTCCAGTTTCCATACCGTTTTGGAGAAAATTAAAGAAAACTTGAAATTATGGTTGAATGTTTTCCTAAAAATCAAAACGCGTCTAAAAGTCCTAAAAATCAAAACACGAGTTATGTATTTTATTGTAACTAACTTGTTTTTAAAAATTTATTTTCTTCAAGAAAATTACAATTTAATAATTTGACAATATAAAGTAACTGCGTACTGTACGAAAGTTAATCATAAAGTGAATAGGTATATCTAATATTCAATAACATGAAATGTAATGTCAGCAAATTAATTGTTTGCAATATATAATAGTAAAATAATAACTAGGTCGGTTCATGAACTATGATTGGGACGGACTGCGTCACGTATCTCCTCCCTCCTCAAGTTCGGAAAATAAGGGCTGCAATGGCTGGTCGAACAGAGTGTTTTATAAAATATGACCATTGAGTAATCACGATTCTGCTTAAACTGCTTGACGTTTAAAGCTGATTTTTGGCAAACGGATTGACTGTGGGGTGTAGAGGTTCGATAAGATCGGGTTTCTCGAATCTCAAATTCCAAGAGGGTGAAAACGCCCCTCAAATATTACATTATTTGTTATTTAAAAAACGGTTAGTCTTTCGGGAAAACGCTTGGACAAGCATAATTTATTTGTTTTTTTACATATTTTGAAATTTTTTAAAAAATCATACAGGGTGTTCCAAAAAGTTGGGTAATTTCTTAACCACGATTCTGCTTAAACTACTTGACGTAAAAAGCTTATTTTTGGCAAACGGATTTTTCGAAAGTCAAATTCCAACGAGATGAAACTACCCTTTAAATATTACCAAGTTATATAATAATATCGCCATATTGCTTTTTCTCATGCTGACATAAATGTGAGAAAATTTTATCCAGTTTATATGTTAATGGAAATTCTTGCTTTGCTTTATCATCACCATTACAAATGATTAATTCGACGCGAACGAAGTCGCTAGTCCTTTGATATATTTTTATTGACAGAATTTTAATTATAATCATATTCTATTATAATTATTAATCATATTTTTTGCTGTTTTGAAATGTTAAAGAAGCACAAAATTTATTTAGTACAATGCTATGGACAGGGTGATAATAGTTATCGAAAAATTAATCAAAATTGGACACTGATATAAAACAAATAAATCCGTCATTTAGAGCCACCTGGTGATCCGGAAGAAACTATTGGAGAGTTTTGGCATGTCATAATTTTAACGTTCCGTTACTTTTTAACACTGACTAAAACGGTAACGTTATTCAACCGCAAAATTGTTCCTTGTAAAATATAAAATAATAAATATAGACTTTTTTACTACATTTTATGTTTTATTAGAGCATTAGACGTGTAACATAATCAAAACAATTTTTTTTTCAAAAAATTCCTAATTTTCAAAAAAAATGTTCGCAAAAAAACCTTATAGACGTGTTTCTGTGGTCGAAATATACCACCGCTAAAAATATTTACACTTATTTCAGACTCACCCTGTATAATCTTAATATTTTTATCGTATTAATAAGTTGTTTTTATATATGTCTTATTAAATGGATAAATTAGCATTAATTTAGGTTATTTTTTCTTTACAGAAATGACAGCCAATGGTATACGCCATGACAACAGTTACAGCGACGATAATTTTTCCGACGATGAAAGCTCTCCTCTTACAGAAAATTTATATGGAGGAAGGTAAGACATCACTAAAAATTAATCTTTTGTATGAAACACATATATCTGCCATTTTATTTAAAGCTGTTATGTTAAAGTCATGTTAAACTACTGGCTATATACATGCTACTTTCTTTTTCTACAAATTACTTACTTTTAGTGCATTTGCTCATTTATATCAATTAGCCAATACGTCCAAAAAACATAAATCACAAACGCCAAGCCACAAAAATCATTATTTTTGTTACAGTGGATACCCGTGGTGAATGTATTGCATTAATGTATGGGTGTTGAAAACATAAAAAAAAGTGAACTATTTTCTTTCTTGTGTACTTATTACTCTATTTTTTTAAGTTATTTGTATTTAACGTTAATTTTTTTACAAAATTATAAATGGTTATCCAATAATTGTGCAAGGAAAAAAAGTTTTGTCAGTAAATACCACGAAATCTTTTTTAATACATATAATACCATGCGATCGAAAAAGTCTTATTCACGTAAATGACGTCTAGATACTGACCTCGCCAAAATTATCATCGCTGGTTATTCCCCAGCCATCTTTGACGCCGTTTTTTTCGATCATACGGTATTATTTTTGTAAAAACAATTAGATCTTTAATTCTGAAATATGTTACCTTCAAAGTGAAAGTAGTGTTATTTCTTCTAACTTATTTCGGTAAATTTTATTTCTCCAATACAAAGTTGATTACAGAAAAATAGAACAACATATTTAAAATAAGAATCTAAATAATTGTAAATCAGTAAATAGGAACAAAGAATACTGTAAATGCTAAAATGACCTTACATTAATAAAATAAAGAAATGCAGTAAATTCAAAATATATCAATATCCCACTTAAAAAATAGTATACTCTACAGGCCATGACATTCTTTTCTTATGAGTAATGGGATAATCCTATGTCCAAAAAATTCTTAATATCTTGACATTCTTAACAGAAAAAAAATGAATGTTCTATGCACTGAAGGGCATAAATATTATAAACAAATCAGGGTGTTCAGGAAAAAGTATATTTTAATTAAACATAAATAAAAAGTTATTCAAAAACATCAGTATTTATAAAAGAAGTTAAATATAACGTATGATATAAAATAATAAACCACATGTTGAATAACTTAATGGGAGATAACTTGCCGCATTAAGATTGTTTTAAACTTTTCCTAATGTATTTTAAATGCATAATTTGCAACCAGAACCAAGGCTGTCCAGATATTTACATACGATTTAACAAATTTGTGAAAGTGACAATAAAAAAGCAATTAGAAAAAGATTATTCATATGATTAAGTATAAAATTAATAGACAATGGCCTACTGCTCGACAAAACATTATTACTTTTAAAATTTAAATTCTTAGAGTTTTTATATTTTAATTTGAATACTGAATATGGGAATATCCGACAATGATAATGGTAATTATAGTTTTGAATTATTAATAATTTATTTTTATGCTGGAATGGTGAGGTAGTTTAAAATTCCAGAAAAATAAATTTTTGGAAATATTGTCTGGAAACGTTCTATCGTTTTATAATCTTGCTATAATTAGTGTTAATTTTTGACAATTTTTGTGTCAATTTTTAGTAAATGACGTCTAGAGACTGACCTCGCCAAAACACTCATCGATTGTCATTCCCAGCCGTCTCTGACGCCGTTTTTTTTTCGATCATACGGTACTTCTCAACAAAGACAAAACCGAAAGATTTTCATCATCAAGAATGTATAATAGCCACTTGATACTAGACTTAACGACTATTAAACTAACACAAAATTAAAAAATGAAAATTTAAAAATAATGTTTTTATTCAAAACACTGTTCTTAATGCTAGGCAAGCACTGATTTATCAACAATTTGAATTTTTTTTTAAATAAACCACAATTTATTAGTATTTTTTGATAGCAAAGCATAAAAGATCCAAAATTTTAACTCGTACATGACTTAATAATAGATTATTTTCTTTTATCTATGTACATGACAGTGATAGATATGTCTGTCATTATAATACACCCGTAAAATGTGCTTTCTGTCATTTCTGGATCTTTTCCACATCTTCCCTGACTTACAGAGTTTACCCCCATCTTCTCTTATTTAGTGATTGAAGTTCTTGAAGTTTAAACAGTCTATACATATATAAAAAAATAATTATACTTTACTTCATGGTAAACATATCACATGCACTGAAGGAATTAATTTTGGGTCTTACTTTTAAAAACGTTGTGTGTTAACTTTGAGTATGAGCTTTTAATTTAATTTATAATTTCTAAATATAATTAAAACTTTATTTAAACCAAAAATTTCAAACGTCCCAAAAGTAGTTTTTGCGACGTGATTGTCAATATAAAAAAAGCCATTTTAACGCCTAGGTATAGAAGTAAAGCACTTTTACGCCTAAGCATAAAAGTACGAAAATATATTATTAAACTGACATAAAGATTATATTATAAACTGACATTTCAAATTCAAGGAGTGTAACCATAGTTTCTCGATATATAATGAGTACTACTTTTAAATGTTTTTATATTATTTGGAACGTTTGAAATTGTTTAAAAAATTATCTGTGGCGTTTGAAAAAAAAATACTATTAGGCCAGGAAACGAAAACATGAATTTGGAAAACAATAGTGTCAAAGAGATCATTGTTTTAAGTGGTTGGGTTGACCCAGAGAAGTATAACATACCAAAAGTTCCCAGCCATAGACCTTGTGCGTTAGCAAAGGAGGGAGGGGGAAGGGGTAAAAAAGACCAGTTTATAGGTTTTTTGTTATTATCTCGAAAACTAAGCATCCTAGCGAAAAAAAAGTAAATTCAATTGTTTACAAAAAAGGTTCTATTCGTTTTTTCGCTAGGAGCAGTAGTGAAGAGTGTACGATGCTTTTCTTTAAGCCAATCAGGTGAAAGATAAGGAAGTCACGTTGGTATAATATCACCAACCTCCAAAAGCTGCCATATGCGATATACAAAATGAAAGTAAATTTAATTGTTCATAAAAAAGGTCCTATTCATTTTTTCACTGTGAGCAGTAGTTAAGTAATACTGTTAGTAGTTAATACTTTGAAAATATGAATAGGTGGAAAAAAACTGGGTATGCTTGCTTTACGGCACCCGCAACGGCTTCCGCAACCATTCTCGCACCCGCAAAATATATTACTTAGGACAGATTCTGGCGCAACTGGATCCGTGCTTGTGACAGGAATGAGGAAGCCGTCCAACCCATTCAACCATCCCCAAGCAGTTGGCTCCTGCTGCCGATTTCCATGCAGCCATTGCTGAAGCTGCAAATTATAATTAATTCGTTGTTGGTCATTACAGTAATACAAAATAAATGTTAAGGTAAACAAAGCATATATTGACACAAACCTGCAAATAGAGTGTGAGGGAGTGCTGGCGAGCAGCGCCTCTAGTAGGTGGAAGTGCCGCAAAATCAGGCCTTGGCTTTGTTGACGCTTTAACAAAGGCCTGGTATCGTATCCGGCTCAGGTCTGCTCCTTTTGGGGCCTGGTACAATGCCAAAAAAGGCAGCTCTCCTGCGTCAGCTACCATGTCCTGTGTTGCTAAGGGATCAGTGAAGACTTTGACACCTTTCCCCTGCTTGGCTTAATAAAAAGCATCATACACTCTTCACTACTGCTCCTAGCAAAATATGAATAGGACCTTTTGTGTAAACAATTGAATTTACTTTCATTTTGTATAGAACATTTTTTTCGCTAGGATGCTTAGTTTTCGAGATAATAACGAAAACTATATAAACCGGCCCTTTTCACCCCCCCCCCCCCTGCTAACGCACAAGGTCAAGGTATTTTTTTCCGAATTGCGGTATTTTTTGGTGTTCGCTTCCTGGCCTATATGTTCTATTCGGAGTAAAAATGACTTTTTATGTCTCGCCTGTAATGTCAAACGTACAGCCTCGCCACAAAAAGTATTATTTTTACTCCTAATAAAACAATATACTATTAGTGAAAAAATAAGGTAGTGCCATGGTTCTGTGACACAAACTGTAGTACAAAGAGTACGTTGTGTAACGAAGAGTACGTAGTTGTATAAATTATAAAATAAAGACATTGGAAGTCCGATAAAACAGTTATATTTGTGTTTTATCTTATTAACAGCTAAAAAATTGAATAAAAAATGTGTCATATTACCCCACCTCCCAACTGACATTCTAAACATAGTATGACTTCGCCAGTTACTAAAACAAGAACAATTACTCACAAGAATCTCTTCAGCTTAATGTGCACGTTAAAACAAGATCAATTTTATTAAGCGTATATTTATGTAAAACTATCAAACTATTTGCATATTAGATTAGCCTCTAGTAAAACAATTACGTAGGAAGCCGAAAAAAAGCTAGCAATGACGACCAAGCCCAAACCAAAAAAAAACGAGATATATGTAAGTCTGTCTACGTTTTCTGCTTTTGCTGCTGCCAGAGCCCAGCCAGGCCGGGCCCATTTTCTTTATTTTGCCATTCAAGGACTCCGGCAAAGCTGAAATATTCGAATTTATTGTCGGTACGACCACCGAGCTTGATACTGCAGTAAGTAGTTGGTCATGTAACTATCCCTCGCCACGGAAAATCATACAGGGTGATAGAGGCTCTGGTAATTGCCTTTCTATGTATAAAATTGTGTGTTTGCTGTTAACACAAAGATTTTGAAATTCATTATAAACAGAGTATAACGTTTTTAGCAATATTAAAGGTTAATACAAGGATTAATATTTTAATTGCTATCCAGTTATCTAGAAATAGGAGGCAATAGGAGTCAAGAAAACTTCTTGGCTCCTATTGGCTTCCTTTCGTTGCTTTTTTATGATAAATCCAAAAGTTCTAAAAAAATGTCTAAGCATCAATTCCACACATATATAACTTTAAATAAAACACAAATTACCAACTTTAGTTACACAAAACAACAAAAAGTCAGCCGCTGGTAGTCCAATTTATCGTTTTCTAACATCTGTACTCAACTAAAGTTGGTAGAAGTATGTTTTATTGCAAAAACTTGAAGCAGCA